GAGAGAGAGAGAGAGAGAGAGAGAGAGAGAGAGAGAGAGAGAGAGATTATGTAAAATAAAATAATAATTAATTAAAATGATATGCAACAGGATGGATTGCCGGATAGCGACCTCCGGGTCGAGTGGAAAGGATTGTTGAACTATGAATGTCCCGACATGAGGGACAGGGAGACTCTCGCTTCGAAATTATGCCGTCCGGGTTTCGCCTACTTGGAGGCACCGGCTGTATTTCTACCGGTTTATCGCAAAGTTCGGCACAAGTGTGACATCGTGCAACTACCTGATGATTATTGGAGTGTCAGACTGACATTTCTGCACGCCAGGTTGTCGCAATACCGTGAATTCATTGACAGTTAGTGAGTGTCATTTTTTTTTGTTGATATCCGCCGCGATACACGGACTTGAGTATAATTTGATTTATACATTAAGATAAAAACTTGGTTTGCGTGATATTTCGGAGAAAAAAAATCATAAATTTATTCATTTGAGTTAAAAACTTGTTGGCCATTTATATTAAAATTGCTTAATTAATACTCACCATCGATTTATTATTCATACAAAAACTTGTGTTAAAGTCGGAACACGAGGATATGCAACGTACGCTTGGAATACAATTTTAAGTTCCAATTTATTTATTTATGCGTAATTAATTACGCAATTCTTCTGTTTTATTTCTAATTTAATTGAGAAACACTTGCAATTTACAGCTTAATGCGTATGCGTTCGGCTGGGATATTCAATTACCTTGAGAAGAAGTGGATCTCACAACAAACTTACGGTCAATCCAGTTATCTTCAGTCGAACAGTTTCCAACCGGTGCAATATATGCACATTCGTTTAACTACCTTGTTGTTCATCATGATGATGATTATCAGTATATTCATCTGCATTTTGGAAAACGTTTGGTATAAACTGCAACAGGCGCGAAAATTCAAGAAGAAGAATTCTAATTCGATATTACTGGGGACACGTGATAACAATTTAAACATAACGAAGACGTGTTATAAAATGAAATCGCAACGCAAATGGCACCGGAAATTTAACTCGAAATTTTTATCTGAACATGTGACAAATCCGAAATTTCTTGAGAATGTCACAGTACGAGTTAACCGATGGTAAATACAACAGTCGTAGTTATAGATATATGTATACGATATTCGGGAATATCGAGATCAACAATATTATTTCTACGTTTTCATCAAACAAGATGAATCACGAGAGAGAGAGAGAGAGAGAGAGAGAGAGAGAGAGAGAGAGAGAGAGAGAGAGAGAGAGAGAGAGAGAAAAAGATCAATTCCTGATCTTTAGCGTTTTAAAAATTATACACAGGATCAAAATATTACATCCGATAATACTGTTATCATCTTTATGCATGCTTTCTTAATCAATTTTATTTGGAAGAAAATCTGCATTAAGGTTATCTAGAAATCTTCATTGAGATAATAAATACTGTATGTATAAGACGAAGAAATCCTTGTAAAACATCACATTACACTAGTTTTTATGAACAACAATAATACAAAGAAAATAATTAGAACGTAATGCTAGCAGCGAGCGTGAAGGGTCAGTTTCTTTAATTTTGATTTAATAATAATAATAATAATATGCATATAAGCATAGTACATAATATACAATACAGAAAAATAATCATGGCGAACATCGTCATTGACCGATACGCTTTTTCTGCGCTACACAAAACCACACGCGAATTATATTTTCCCCAAATACAACTCGCAACAATATCTTATAATCGCAGAAACGATGCTCTTCTCATTGTTACAAGACATTATTCACAATTATAAACAACGGACATTTACAAATGCATTATGCATCGGCGTCATATATTTAAGGCCTATATGGATCTTACATTATAATTAAAGAACCTTTGGCTTTTTTTTATGTATTTCGCCACCTATGATACTCCAAAAGGGAGATATGGAAGCGAGAGAGCGAGAACGGAGCAAGGAATCGTAGATTCGAGTGCATCACGATTCTTCTCAAAGTTTTCCCGCATTGTCGTCAATTTCTTAAATCTGACGAATTTAACACTAATACCTTAGATTTACTCCTAGATATCCAACGGACCTTAGCATCTTTCTATCCTGCGAGATACTCCCTCGAGCATAAAAATGGTATATTAATGCGTTTGATTATTTTTTGTCCTAAGGTATTTCTTAACGTTTCGAGAAATAAGATCAGACATAACTAGATGCCTCATCTCTTTACTCACACTCAGTAGGACAAAGAAAAAGAGAAATGTATTTGTGACAATTGTGATTTTTCAGTACGTGATGATTGGTATGGGTTCTATAGGGTTCTTCTAGAATTAACGTTACAACATTCCGACGAGAATAATACACTTCCGCAATATTTAACGGCGCAACTTAAAACGAAGTTAAGCGTAATCGTGTTTAGTTGTTGTTGATATCTTCTTTCCGCTCTGTCCGCAGCTGGTACGAATGTCGCGGTTACTATTGGGATCGCTTAAATAAATCGGTTATGTGCATGGATAATAAGTGTATCTCTTATATTCAATATACAGTGAAAGATTTGACTACTTATGATATACTCTCTTCCTCGTACGAAACGACGCTGCACGGATTTATATTTTCACCCCCACAATAAAAAAGATCAGATTTTGATTGGCATCTCTTTCGAATTATACAAAACTTACTCAAATTCCAAGGTTTGTTACATTCACAGCATAATCGGAGCCTTTCACAATGATTGGGAAAATACAATAACGAAAAATTTATATATAAATATACATAGAAAATGTAGTAACATGATACATCACGTGAGTCATTAACAAAATATCGTATTTTTGTTGATCACTTTCGAACTTACTTCTATTATAATAATTTTATATTTCTTGAAAAACCTATATCAAGGATAAGCTAAGAATATCAATGTTTGCTACTTTCTTTCATCATTTAGCAGTTGGATAATTTATATGTTTTATATCATTAACATTCCTGAAAAGAATGAACGTATTAAGACAGATGTGAGAGAATTTGTTTCTGCAAAAGTGGATGAAATTTGAATAATTTACAACTTTACAGGACGAATTTTTACCAATTTTTGGTTACACAATTTTTCGTAGCAATATTTTACATCTCGCGAATTCTCATCCTTGTGTTACGCAGTTTTGAAATCCGTTTTCCATAAAAACGGTATACAAGTTCATTATCTCGGCGATCCTTTTTATTGTATGAAGAAATAAAATTATCGATAGTCCTTTTATTATCTACACTGCTAAAATATGTTCGCTATCGACCTCGTTCTCGTTTAGCAACGAAAGATTTACAACGAAACTTTAGCATTTTGAATTGACTCCATTGCAGCTGGTCATTGCGCTGAGAATTTTATTTCCTATTAATTAAAATTAATGCTAACAAGCAAAGGTCTACACCTTTCTTGTGATAGACGTATAAGTTTCTCGATCATCTCGAAATCACATTATTTACAAATATGCTATTCAATCTTCTTCAATAAAGCGTTGCAAGCTGTTGCGCACAGTTATGCAATATTTTAATACTATAATACAATACAACTCGAAACGAAGAGAAAGTACATGTAGAATTACATTCTATGTAGGCTTGAGATCACACAACGTTTCGCAAACATATTTATACAAGTGGTACTACCGATCTCCAAAAAAAAACATACAAAACTCAAGTTAAATAAAAAATGCAAATTAAATTAAAAGTGATTAGTTTTTGCAAAATGAAATATCCAATGTATGTAGTCAGAAGTTACACGTGAGATCTTTTTTTTTTACAGCCTCTTCAACGCTAGAGAACATTCTAAAAACAACTTCTGATTTTTATGATTAAGTATCCATAGCTTCGCGAAATATATAGAAACTTTCCAATTCTACATTTTAGCTAAATCATTTTTTTTCCGGATACATTTTTCCATCAGACGAAAAAGTCTCCGATTCGCTTGAATTCCAAGTACGCGCTAGGTGGCACGAGAGGAAAATATTTAGCACAATTAAGCACATTTAAAAATATTTTTTTTGACATCAATAGCGTATTATATCGCGCGTGTCGCGTTACCGCGACGTCCGAGTTTCGCCTAGCCAATAAAGTAAGTAGTTTTTATAAACTAAAATGAACTTCTTATAGCGAGAAACGCTAGTATGTTCTGCTCACAAAACTTATGATATTCAAAATGCGTATGGTAATATGTCGCACGATCTAAGTAACTCTTATATAAGTCTTGATTTGCTGACAGAGAATTCAGTGTGAATTGTGAATTTCAAGATATTATTAAATAAAATTAAGAGACTCGAAAAATAATCATGGCAAGCTTTGCGTTATGTTTGAATCACATGTCAGAGTAATTAATAAGTGACAACCGCTATTAAAAATGAGCCAATAAATTCCCTCAGCTGAAAGAAGGTGCCAACGTTTCCTGACTGTTTTCGAGATCGCGCGTTTGAAAATTGCGGTAAAACCATACGCTGACGAAGGATCTGTGAAATTCAAAGTGGCTATCCTCACGGTAAGTGGTGATATGTGAAGGAATTAAAAAATGCACAGTCCGATGCCCGGAGCAAGTCCCATGTTCCACGTGTCTCCCGTTACGCAACAGCACGTGGAAGACTCGACGGTCTCCCCGTGACGCCGAAAATCCTGTTCAACCGAACTGTCCTCGACGAATCAGTCGGGATTAACAGGAGGCGTAGGCGTTACCACACTTCGCACTTATGTACCGGATTCATGTTCGAGTCCTTAGGGCAGTTAAATTCCGTGGAGAATTCTGGCATATTCGAAAGTGGTCCTATCACCCTGTACTTCGGCGGACTGTGAGTATCCTTCTCGATTTGAAGAGTCATCGTCTCGGACGTTATGGAGGAGCACCAAATCTGTGAACAAGTCTCGTGTGACTTAAAGCGACCATCGTGCTTCACGTCTTCGTGAAAGTTGTTAAATTAAAGAAGAGTAGAAAGGAAAAAAAATTTCCGTTCATTTAATTATCAATCGTAATAGTTATTTATGACAACCTGAGCAAAATTCAGAAAAAATAGTTGACGATGCGTCAGATTGAGACCGGGTAGCGGCAGTTGATCCTTGTAGGTCTTAGGCATCGAAAGATAAGCGTGATATGCTGCCCTAAGGCCCCCGTTGTCGGCGATATTCTCCCCTGTATATTACAATCGATCGGTCTAAATTCTGATACTTCCGTCATCGGTAAGCAATTATTTGTAATCAATAAAATTACCCAGCGTCTGTCGGCCATTTATGTTTCGACCTTGTACTTGGTATCGGTTATATTGTTCCACGAAGCATTCGGTTCTATTTTTAAATCGCTCCACCGTTGCGTCGTTCCACCAATGGTGCAGATTTCCATGCAAGTCATACTCCCGACCTGTCCGATATTAATTAAATACGTAACTGGCGCAAAGGTAAAAAATGTTTTTAAATAAGCGAATGACTTAGAACAAATATAGCGTATGAAGAGAATGAATAAGAAGTTATATTTCATATCTTTTGCTATAAGATCATAAGAGAGTAGCGTTTATCTTTAAAGTCATACCTTGGTCGTCAAAAGCATGCGTTAATTCGTGTCCCATGACTACGCCTACGCCGCCGAAGTTCAAACTATTGGGATTCTTCATATCGTAGAACGGACTCTGAAGAATACCAGCAGGGAAGACCATTTGATTTTTGGTAGGTGTATAATAAGCATTCACGGCCGGCGGTGTCATTATCCAAGTGGTCTTATTCACCACCTGATCAAGTTTCTCGAGATTTTTACGGAAACTGTATTTGTTGACGCGCAAAGTGTTCTGGAAATATTCATATTGTTTAATCGACAAATCCCTGTAACGCTCGTCGAGTTCGCTGGCCTGCTGAATGAAGTCCGGGAAGCCGATCATGTCGGCGATCGCGTTCGCTTTCTCCTCGGCAGCGTTTCTCGTCTCTGCGTCCATCCAATTTAGATTCTTAAAGTTTTTCGTGAACGCCTCGCGTATATGATTGATCATTTCCTCCGCCTGAAAGCGACGATCGAAATAAATCGAAATATTATTCTAGAAATTAAAAAGCGTATCTCATAAATTATCTCCTATTTTATCTCGAAAGCTCGTCACTCCGTTTTATACCGTAAAAGTTAATAAAACGTGGTAATTATTGAAAGTATAATTTTTTAAATAGAAACAAAATGAAACTAACCATGGGTTTGCTCTTGCCTTGAAAACGGTCTCTGACAAACATCGCGCCAATGGCGAAACCCATGGCGTTATTAACGTCGTTGACGCAATAACGCCACTGCTCTTCGTGGCCTTCCATACCGAGCAAAGCCTTCCGCAAGCCCTTGTAAGCTTCACGAAACGGCTTCGAGAGGAACGCCGTCAAGGACCTCACGGTCTGCCAAACCAGATAGTTATTCAGTATTCTGTGGAAAGAAAAAAAGATAGAGGAAACGATTGATACCTACTGCTTTTCGATAGGACCGATGACTTTATGAATACGCAATGTGATTCAGAGATTGCGCACTTTGTTACGAAATTCGTGTTCGACATCTCGTCAACAGAAATTATAGGCGAGTTTATTCGTAGCGGTTTTTTGTTAAGCGTATCCCCATTTAAAATGTCTCCCAGCGTTAGGACGTAAAGTTAAAAATTCATCGAGACAAAAAGTTATTTTAATAGATGAATCAGATGAATAGATTATTAGGGAGGAATTTGGTTTTCAACATGCACCCTTCGAAACAAGTGCGCCATATCTGATGCACCTCACAAATATACAATACGTACATCTTTCCGTTAGTTGTCTTGTTATACTCCTGCACGACTCTCGTCAAATTTACGAAATACTCCGGTGCAAAATTTACGATCATCGCTTTACTGTTGATCTTTTTATTTACGAGGCGTGTGGCGTTTTGGAAGAATTCTACCCACGACATCTAAACACATAAAGAAATTGCGTCCATCAAATGTTGTCGATATGTCAATATCTTCGCTCAAAACAACAAGAGTAACCGTCTTATTTGGAAACGCATCTACAAACATTTCATATTTATTAAAAGTATATGAAATGAAAATATGATAGTGATAACACGATAGAATATGATTGAAGATAAAACAGAACGTGACAATACTGTATCTAGGATACTATCGCGATATCAGGATGCAAAATAATATATCAGATCGTTAACGAAAATGTTGGAACAACGAAAAATCGCAGATTGTATCCGCAATAGTTGCAATATTACGTAATCGAAATATACGATAGAATAAAAGACGGCGAACTTACAAAAGGTGCTTTACGTTGCAATTCATTTAACGACATCAGATTGTACATCTTCTCCTCGTCCCTGCGCTCTTCGGGCGGTATAGTGATCTCCGCGAGTCTCGTCTCGAAGGCAATCACATCTTGCATTTGTTTCTTCGTGAGATTCTCCTCACCACCTAGGAGCACGCCGATCTGAAAACGTGCACGAGTACCTGTACTCGATTCGCCCTCAAGGAAACACGTTGTATTGTACAATGCCATAAACCTGCGAGTTTTACTTTTGTACCTTCGTCATGTAGTCCAAATAGGCGTTTAGGACCTTGCCATGCTCGGATACGTTGAGGTAATTGTCAGCAGTTGGTAGTGTTAAGCCCCCTTGATCGATCTTGAAAATGTAACGTACACATATATAAATATATGGGATTGCAATAATACCAAAAAATGTTATTGTTAGATAAAATTAATTAATTGAGTTTTAATCATATAAAAAATTAATACTATTTGTTAAGTTCACTTTTAGATTAAATTATTAAAGTTTGTCATTAAATTAATATTGTAATAATTAATATAAGAAAACTACAATTTTTATAAAGACTCTGTTGCGCATTTGCTCGTCGAAGAGATACAATAATACAAAGTGTTTCCTTTGAGACGTGGGTTTCACATTAACTTAATTCACTACTCCACTCTAATTACGCGCTGCTGCTACTACAACGATAATAACGGCAACAGAAATTGTAATTAGCACTATCATTGTAATTAAAGCAAGTTTTGCGCGGGGAGAAAATAATAATCGATTATGTTTTATACCGGATGTATAATTCGCGACAAAATATATGAAAGAGAGAGAGAGAGTTTTGTTTTCCGATATTTTACACACACACACGTTACACATATTCTGGGTCTAATCTATTGTAATCTGCTTATAGACCTGGATTATGTATCTAGTGCTGTTTCGATCGTCCTCGCTCACTCCCCAGGAGAATAGACCGCCCATATTATAGACGTTTTGCAGTACGTGCATGCTGTTTTGCAGGGACCACGCGCTGATATTGAATTTGCCGGAGACATTCCACCCGCCGATATTTTCCAACAGATCCAGCATTGGTTTCGCCCCGAGCGCCTCGATCGTCTCATTCGCATCCATGCAGGACAGATAATAATACTTCGCCTTCTTCTCGGCTTTTGATTTCATGTCGGTAAGTGGTTTCTCTGCAAAAATGAAGCGACGACTTAACGCGCATGTATATAAACGTTTCTTAGGCCCGTCGATTATGCACGTTTGTTTACCGAGAGCATTCTTGACTACTAGTTGATTATCCTGCTCCAGCTTGCCGAACGTACCCCATACGTTTCTCCCATCAGGAATGGGGTTGTTCTTTTTCCACCCGCCGCACGCGTATTCGTAGAAATCGTTACATGGATCAACGGAATTATCTATACTATTGATTAAGGAAGCCGCGACTGTTACACATTGTTCCGTGAGACAATGCGTGCCATCTGCAACAATTTACAAGTAAACACTGAATGTACTGGTGCTGATCAAGGTTAATTAAAATCAATTGCTTTGAATACACTTGTGATAAGTTCTCTTATCACACTATAAATAAAACTACAATCGGGATTGGTAAAAAATGTCCAAGAACAAAAAACCGCTGATACTGCGGATTGCGTCAAGGTCGCTCGGAATTAATTAAATTTTTTGTCGTTTTTATGTCATTGATACAAGCTGGAATAAAAAAAAACAGGCAACGCCAAGTTTGCAATGTTTTATTGTCACGAGATAACCGTGGTCATTTTTTTTTTTACCTTCTCCGTGAGAAGTGACGTGAAGAATCTGGGCCTCGTCCCAACCATTTTTGCTGCTGATTACAATGGCGAGTACCACGATCGTCAGCAGCAAAGCAGCACAAATTATGAGAAGGCATCTCTCCAAAATACTCCTCGCCTTCCACATCGTTGTACCCTGCGTCAAAAAATTATGCCGAACTCCTCAAAGCCACCACATTTTATTATTTATAATTTAAACCTACGAAACCGAAATAATTTTCATAAAATATTTTTTTTCAGAATATAAAAATATTGTCCTAATAACAAACTGAATTATCGTATTTTTGGATAGCGTATTTATATTATTATTGTTGATTAACGCAAATACATTCTCGATTGAATATGCGAGCTAAAAAATTAAACGTATTTTTACTCTCAAGGCTGCTTTTGCAACTTATTTGGAAACGTCACATTAATATCGGAAAATACTCACCGTATGATATCTTATATGTGTGGCGGACGTACTGATGCCCTCGCTATTTAGAGCGACGGAGCCGATGCTGCTGCTGTCTTCATCCTCGAATTCGGCCTGTTTGTACCTCGTCATCTGAACAACAATGAAGTAGAAATCAATTTTACCCGTAGAAAACTTCATGTCAGATCAAGGCAATTAAAGCAATATTTAAACCGAATATACGAGCTGCCATTACGCGCGGCTCATGAGTGCTGTATCGTGTAAAGTTATAATGAAAAATTAATGAAACAATTAGCACGTTGAAAAGTCTGACACGGCTTTACTGGGATCATACAAAAAAAGAGTAAACATTGATTACGAAATCACAATGGATGTCGAAAAGTTCAATATTTTCTTTGCCACAGATTCTCACAAACAAAGATAAAGTAGGATTTATCTCTCGCGTATGTTTAACAAGAAGATAAGACAATTAGCTATGCGACCATGTGTAACTTTGCTTTTCTCGTTAGTTGATTAAACAACAACGTTGCTAGAGTTTATAGAGCTTTCCATTACTAAGCTTGATAATAGATATGTCATCGTTACACATAAACGTGATATCACAAATTTATTAATGAGCAATAGATGTTCATAATAATTATGGCATGGTATCTTATTCATATCGTTTCATCTATCGCTAACATTAATCAAAATTGCCTTTTTAATGAAATATATGTTTTTCATTTCCAAAATTTACTGGTGATATTTGCGTAAAAATATTCATTCATTATCATTATGTATAATGCAACGTTCTTTTATGCAACGCAAAATGATATGGCTGTGGAACATTAACATACTAGAAATTTCAGAGCTGTGATCTCAGTTTTGGTACATTTTTTTAAACAATTAATTTGTAAGCATTTTTTTCCTAAGGCACATTTCGTGAAGAGCAATTTTTTTACATTCAGTATTAAATCTCTAGTGTATAAATTTTAAATTCAGATTTTTAAAAAGTCCAATTTGATTAAGGCAAAATGCAATGTGTGTGTGTGTGTGTGTGTGTGTGTGTGTGTGAGAGAGAGAGAGAGAGAGAGAGAGAGAGAGAGAGAGAGAGAGAGAGAATTAATTTCAATTTTTAAATTATTTTTTACTTTTGATTATATACATATATCAGAAAGATAAAAAGATTTAATAAAAATATATCATTTTGATATATCGTTGCATCTTTCATAAAACAAAAATTTATCAAACCGAGCGAAACATCTCTCATTTGAAATAATCAGAAATACGCGATGTTCTACAATTTTGAAATTCGAATCGAGTACATATGTTTTAATGCCTCCCTCGTTTTCTCTTTTTTTTCTGAAATACGTTTGGAATATGCGTCGATCAGTGGGACTCACCGCGAAAAATTTTCATGGAGGACACGGCTTTCGCGGAAGAGACACGCTTTATACTTGTATCTCGCTGATCCCCATCTGCATAGCAGATGTTTGTTTTTGTGGCACAGTTTGTCGAGTGGAAGTACAATAGGCGCAATAGCCTCAATGTAAACGGCGAAACACGGTGTATCAACATTCACATGTAAAACGATCCTCGTGGGCTACACTGCAATCGCACGGGAATGAAATCCACGGAACGTAATTTGCGGTTCGCAATTAAACATCCCGGAGCTAGCAGGCTATCGTTCTCCCTAATTATTTTAATTTAATTTAATCCAGAATTATTCCCTCGATTATTAATTTCATCGGGTCTCAACGCAGGAGATCCTCGTCTATTTCCATTCTTCACTTCGCAGTTAACCCGAGCTGAAACCGGATTTTTCAACAAGCTAAATTTAGCTCGAAAAATGGCAATCGGCGTTGCGGAGTCGCGGATTGGCAATAGAAAATGATCACTTGTCGATTATCCTCAACGGACGAGCCGTGCACACGCGATTCCCGTATAGCAGCTCCGCCGAGGATGCAAAATTCACTCGCGAACTTCGCAGCAACGCTACGATTTTAGACCGTACTAAAAATACGACTTGTCCTCGACTCTACAGAGCTAGAATGTCGACATTCTAAAGGCGCGCTCGAATGATATCGGGACGGGCTTATTTTATTTGACAGGCCGTTTATCGTTTAACCGAGAGAGCTCTCGTCGTTACACTTATCGATTGTAATTCGCACGAATTCAAATTACTCGGCATTCAGCGCATCGTATTGGCCGTTTGCGACACACGGCTTCGCGAATACACCACTGTGCTTGGACGAGAACCGAGTGGACGTGAGCCTCGTCCATCAAGTACCGCGTATTGACTCGCAGCCTCCGTTCAAGATGAGATTCGCTGATAGTATTTACGTCATCGCAAGCGGAAGCAAATGACAGATTGACAAACATACCGCGCGTGCTTCGATCGCTAGCGTCACGCCGGTTATCTCTCCTGTTTTTGCTATCTATGAAAGAGGAAGCGTCTGGTACGCTTGATATTTTATGTGCGAAATATTTGAGATACGCCGATCGAATTCACAAACGGGGCCGTGACGAAACGCGAGTGCTATGAAATTTATTTCTCGAGAAAATCTCGCAAACCACAAACTCGTTGTATTTAGATTTCTTTAAATTTCTTTAGCTAAATATTTTTTACTGAAATATTTTTTGTCCTCCATGAAATTTTTTAACTAAATATTTAACTAAATATTTCCTTAACTAAATATTTTGGAAGCGTTAACAAACGAACGGTAATGTTTTCATAGTTTTCAAGTCCATTTACAAAACGCGTGACGTTCCATATATTTGGCAATTAATTATGTTATTATTATTATTAAGTTTACATGCGCGATTTATTCGTCATGTGTCACTGTCTCTTATCTATAAATCTATAAAACAATTTATTCCGAAAGGCAGAGAAAGGGAAAGATGGACTTTTTCACATAAATACGGTAACAGCAACCAATGTTGTGCCGCGAGCGATTGAAAAGTGACTACAAGCTGTATGCGCGCACAACGCGCAGGAATGACTGCAGATTCCATCGATTTTAACAGATTGCTTCGCAACGAATTTATTTTTCGGAAGAAAAATTGGTAAACGAGGAGGAGTACCAGGCCACGCATCGCTTTCAAATAGCGAATTCGGTTGCTTGCACTAGTTCGCGCCGAGTGCGCACTAAGGCTTGTTTATAGTCGGTTCTTACATTTAGCTTTTAGCGTTTTGCACTGGGAAAACTAGTGCAACACTGGTGCACACTGGGTGCAATTTTCTTGTTCCACTGTGAAAAGCGGTTCATATATTTTCAGTGTTTAATGTTCTACTGACAAAACTGAGTGCAACTTTTTCTCCACCGTCTTTAAAGACGGTGGAAGACCAGTACAAATCGAAATTGAGGTTGTATTTATGCTTAAGGTATGATATTAACATTTTTCTAATTAACTTCATAGCAACGATATTGTTTTCTAGTTTTTCTGTTATAACATTTTCACGTTTATAGATCTTAAAAATTTTAAGAACTAAAAAATTACTAAGAATATCATTGCGAAAAATAAGTATTTTTTAATAAACATACCGTTTGCTACATATGTGTGCTTTTACTATTATAGGTGAAGTTATAAAAATGGACAATACCAACAAAATGGGTGTATATTATTATATCAAATAAAATTATAATGCAATAGGATTAATTGAGAGAAAATTTCAAATACACTTTAGTAAAATTTCATTATCTTTTCAGTAAAATACTTCCACAAGAGACATATATATTTTTACCTTTTACTGATTTAACATTATTTTCTTTCGTACGTCCAGTATCAAAAGAAAAAATTGTATTATTTGTTCGAAACAACAATGCGTTATCTGTCTCCATTTTGCAATATATAAACTTTAATTGCAAAAGTCACAATTTTGGTTTATAAGCACACGACGTTCTGAAGTTTATCATAACGTGACAACTGTGTTTACGGTGTATACAGGGTGAGTCACTCCACATCCGACAAAATTTTTGAGAAGGTAGAACGGATCGAAATAAACAAAAAAAGTCCTGTATCATTTTGCAATTTTCGCAATAGATAACGAGTAGTTGATTATTAAAAATTGTCTTAGCCCATCAGTCTACCGCCCAATTCGAGCGCACGGAAAGTTGTTTATCGTAATCGGCTACGCACGAGCGGCGCGTAAAATAAATAAGTAAATAAATAAATTAGATGTAGATTTCGATTCCATCGGTTAATTTCGCTTTAATTTAATTTTTCTGATCGCAAACGCGTAGCCGGCTATCGCGACGCGAGTCTAGTCGCGCCGTCTCCCCCTCGCCATATTTTTCTATGTTCCATGTAACATACAAACATACATACGGACAAATATTTTTATGCCGAATTTCATTTTGATCGAAAAAGGCTAAGGAATTGTTATAGCTCGGAACGGGGGTCTAGCATTACGCGTCGTTCGTGCGTAGCCATTGTTACACGGAAAGAACAATGTAGCTGCTGTAGCTAAAACTTAGCAAAATAGGGACAGCTAATATTTTTAGTTGCGATAGCTCAATATTTTGCTACGACAGCAAACCGTTTTTGCTGTTGCACCTAATACAATAGGCACAGTAGCAAAATATTGAGCTATCACAACTAAAATATTAGCTGTCCCTATTTTGCTAAGTTTTAGCTACAGCAGCTACATTGTTTCTTCCGTGTAGAGACCCTGTAATCAGAGACTGGCCATAAGAGAGTTCGTCGAATCGTAGAAGAGTGAGATAGCCTGTGTTTCTCTTTCGCTCGCAGGAATTTGACAAACTCTTTTATGACCAGTCTCTGATTACAGAGCCTCCAGCTATTGCCGAATGCGATAAATAACTTTCTGTGCGCAAGGCAATGTCGATCGCCGGGAGGCCACATCTCACCACGCGCTCAAATTGGGCAGTAAGTCGGGCTAAGACAACGATTTTTAATAATTAATTATTCGTTAACTATTATGAAAATTGCAAAATGGTACAGAACTTTTCTGTTCATCTCGATCCGTTCTACTTTCTCGCAAATTTTGTCGGATGTGGAATGACTCACCCTGTATAATAGGCTTGCTTTCTGTTCTTACACTAGTGAACTAGTGCAATAAATTAGAGTAAGACAAGCATATATTTTCTCATTCTACCTTACTGCACTAGTTCACCAGTGCAGGAACAGAAAACAAACCTATTGTGTGTGTTCCACTGAACCTGCACTATTATTGCACTAGTATAGTTTTTATAGAAACCCAGCACAGCGCTGACGCTGCACCAGTTTTCCCAGTGGAAAACGCTATTTGTCTTATTGTTAGATACACGTTCAAAGAGTATTTAGTCAAAAAATGATCCGTGTAAACGTTGTACACGCACCGGCATAAATGCTGTCCCTATCCTTGTGAGGTGCACGCACACAACTAGAATCCCTGTAGTTGTGTGCGTGCACCTCACAAGGATAGGGACAGCATTTATGCCGGTGCGTGTACAGGCCATTTTTCTGGTTTTGAAATATCGCAAGAGGTATTTAAGATGATCTTGAAATACAAGAATTGACTGTAAGCAAGGCTTAGTGTGCGCACTCAGTGCGCACTAGCGCAACCAACCGAATTCGCTAAAAGACAGGGCGATGCACTTTCGCAAGTACCCGATCGGTTCGCGGTCACTCCGATCCGCTTTTCCAGGGCAAAGAACGAGCGATGCGCACCAGCGCCGGTGGTTACGCACTGACTACCGTACGCGAGTGCGTGCCGAAAAGCGCGCGCGTCCCGGGCACGCACGCGCCGCGCGCCGCGCGCACGCGTGCCTGCGCGCGCGAACACCCTCGGCTTATCTTCGCCTTCGACCAAGGGTTTCGCACCGCGGCAGGAAACGGACACTTGTGACGCCGTTATTGCCATTAAAATATTTCGCGGCTCGACGCGGCGGTCGGCTCCGCGCGTCGACATTACGCCGTAATAAAATCAACAAATCGCGGCCCGGCTCTAATGCGAGCGCGATGCACGACGTCGCGCGAAAATAAAGCGCGCTGCGCACGTTCGGCTCCTGCCGGGCACGTGAAAACAAGACGACGCGACGCTCCGACACGAGTTTCGTACAAAGGGGACGCGAGAGCGTGCTTTGCCGAACGTCGATCGGCGGACGAGAGAGATTTGCCTCGGGATAGACAAACATTTGTTCAACCTGATCTCTCTCGTCCAACACATGTCGCGTGACAGCCACATTTGTCACTCGTCAGTTCGATCCGACATCTCGACCAGCACACATTACTCGATAGTTTTACTCGTGTCGTACAATTAACAGCGCAACTTCAATCGACTCTGCACTCTTCAGCCAAGGAGTGCGATCATTTCTTGACCAATATCTCGTTAACATAACGACATTGGCCAAACGAACGATATGAGATCAATAGTAATTGCGCGAGAAGATTATACTTGAGAGGGGTCGAAATCCGGGGCTGAAACGTCGTTTGTTCTTTAAATAAAAACATTGGCCGGTGTAGGTCGTTTCGAGAAACTACATATCATTATTTTTACATGCCTCGGTAGCCGAATTGGTGAGACGCCCACCTAGAGAGTAGGGAAAAGTCCAGGTTCGAATCCTGGCTGAGGTAATGTTTTTCGCAAGAAATGTTCCGTGCTAAAGACACGTCGCCAGTTATGGTCAGGGAGAGCTTAATTATTATAAGTATTCTTATATTAATTATATTAACGCGACCCACAGATGGCACAGTGAACTCGCTAAGTATTCTTCGAGCCTTCCGCCTCTCCGAATTGCGATTCTCCGGGTATTCATAGAAGAATACAACGAGAACGATCGGGGAAGTTACATGTATGAGCTTCCGACGAATTGATCATGGCCGATTCTTTAAAGTAAATTCCCTATGGACTCACGTTCACCTTTGTGCCACCTGGGAAAGATCGTTCCCGATCGCGCGGAGTTTCCGACTTTTTCGACACGCAGGGACACTGGAGGGATAAAAGTTATCGCGTCCCGAGCGCGTTCGCGCTCGCGCGTGTATTTAGACGCGAGGAAGAAGATGCGTCGCATTATCGCGCGAGTAATCGCGCACGGCTAATCGCGCTTACGCACTGAAAGAAAGACGCACTAGGTCAAGTCGAGATAAACGCCGCGCTTTTCGGCCCGCCAACGCGTGCACGCGTGATAAACCACGACCTACGATTACTTTAACGCACATCGACAATAACGAAGAAGGCGATACGGGCTACGTCGAGCTCCGCGATCTCCCTCTCCAGCTCTCTTCCTCTTCCCTTTCTCCCTCTATTGCTACACGCCGTAAGATATCAATATTCGAAATCGCACGCGTTACATAATACATCAGCACTCCCAGAGCAGAACGCAGGGAGACGACCGCTTCGCCAGCGGCCCCGGCTCAGCTGAGGCCGCCTCCGCTGGCCTGTCGGTCCCGCGTCAGGGAAGCGGAACCGCCATGTATATACCTTCGCATCGCATCCGCGGATGCACGTACGGAGATGACTCACCTTCACCGACATCTTGACCCGGTACACGATCGCGCAACCACTGCACTGTCACCTTAATTATTGATTCACCATTGAGGGTGGAATACGCGCGCCCACGCGCGAGTCGGGGGCAGCGATCGCGACCGAAAAGGGCAGATACGAGGGTGGAGGCGGTAAGCGCGAGAGAAAGAGAGAGAGAGTGAGTGAGTGAGAGAGTGAGGAGGCGAGAGGCAGGGAAGAGAAGGCGAGGTCGTGTTCACTGGGTGTTTCCGGCTGCCACCAGGACTACGGCATTTTCCGCCGTTTTCGCCAGCGTGGCCGGTGTAAACGCGGATGCAATCGGCTTTCGACGGCCGCCTCTCTCCACGAGGGGGGGGAGATGCCACCTTGCCACCCTCCGTCGCGCAACCCCGTCACTCGCCGCACGCCCCACGCGACCCCGCGGATCCCGTTTATATTGATCCCTCACCCGTCCGGTTCCACCTGCCATCTCTTATCACCGCCTCAAGCCAAGTACCGCCTTATCATCGGGATACTGATACTAGTGATACTGCCGGCTCGTCGCCTTAGCTGTAGTCGATTCGACCAGACGCGTTCGAAGATCGCGCAGAAAACGGAGAACGGCTGGAAAAGGCTGAGCGACCGAACGAGGCCGTCGTCCATTTGGCGCTGGACCAGCACCATTTGGTCCACGTGTCTCTTTTGCGGGGAAGAGGGGGGGACGGATGAATTGTACAAGAAAGACTCAATCACGTTCGTTCCCTTGATGGCGCGTTCCCGAGCTCTGTATAATTCTAGTACTTCTTATTCTTCTGTGTTCTAGTATTTCTAATTCTACTGCATACTCGTCACCAGGGATGGGAAAGTTACTTTTTACTTGTTACCGTTACTCTTTACCGAGTGAAAATGTAACTCGTTGCCGTTACAGCTGCCGATTTTCAAAAGTAACGCGTTATCGTTACTGTTACTTAAAAAATAGCGACTCGTTACATTTTTAATTCTGAAACGAAATCAAACGCTAAAACATCTTCTTTCGTAGATAGTTTTTTTTACTAACAAAGATGTTAATAAAACAATTTTTTATATCAAAGTTGTAAAAGCATAAAAAATTTAAGGAGATAAATTTTAAAACGCTCAAAATGTAAATAAAAAATGTTCGTCTCTATGAAAAGTTTAGATATAGCTAAAGCTTTTTTTCTCGTACTCTCAATTTTTCGTTGAAACTTTTAACGCAATAATTTTAAACTTATCTTAAATATAACAACTCATAATAATAATAGATTATGAATATCGATCGATGCCCGAAGATTTAAATGCTAACTAGGTTCGAAAGTAACGATAAAAGTGACTGTTAAATTCGTTACAGTTACTAAAAAAAAGAGAAAGTAACGTCGTTACCAGTCCGTTACCAAAAAAAAAGTAACTCGTAACGGTAACGCGTTACTTTCATGCCCTGCTCGTCACTTACTACTGGCCGATACGCGAGCACCGTCTACTACTGAAGAAATGCCGAATGCGGAATAGAAAGAGATTCGCTTTAACGTACCATTCTTAATTCTAACTTTCAATCTCCAATTTTTAATTATTTATTCTTCGTGACAGTCGAAACAAATCTCGACGTTAGAAGTTCAACAATCTTGAAGCTTTTTCTTTGTATAATAAAATTAGCAACTTTGTAATTTCATTGAATAAATTCATAAAAAATGTACAGTTGACTTACCTATTAGGCGATTTGTGGCGACTGTTTGGTACATACAGGGTGTACTAAAACCACCGAATATCCTTTTAATCACAAATTCTTTAGAAACTTTCAAGACAAAAATTCTAATACAAAAATGTTGAGGCTATAATAGTTTTTAAATAATAAGCGATTACATTTCACGAATGACAGGCCTGAGATTTCGCGCGCTCAGGTACGACGACACGACAAGTGATAAAGGTGTTCCTACGAATATCGCCCTTTTTAGCATAGTGACAACTTTCACAACAGACTTAACGATTCATTCCCGAATTAATTGTTCCTCTTGTTATTTTTAACCATTTCTTTTGTTAACTTTGTGTAACGTCTTATTAATAAAA